TCTGGGTCCCTGCAGTGGAGCGGGGTGCTGCTTCACCCCTTTCGTACCTGGTACCCTCACACAGAGGTCAGCTGAACTACCCAGTGAGCCGTGACTGTGGCAGCAAGTCCGCTCCCGAGCCCAGACTGCGGTTCTTCAGTGTCGTGGTCACGTGCAGACAGTTAATTCCCTTCTCCCGGGCCTCTCTGGGGCCTGCGCTGTCCTGCACGCTGGCTCCAATCCTCAGCCCCTTTCAGAGGAGCTCGAGTTTGTTTCCTGAAGGTGGCGCCCACAGCTTCCTCAGGGCCCCTTGGCTGAAGTTAACTTGAGCCTCTTAAACGTCCCTGTTTCTGCCAACTTCCGCCACCAGGTGGCTCTCAGACGTGGGGCGCAAAGCCAGGGCCGCCTGCTCTTCCCCCCTCTCCTTGCACACCTGTTCCCACAAAGCACATGTCCACGGGGACATGTTCGGGTCTCCTGGCCCCGCCACTTTTATTTTTAAAGAATGCTCTGTCAGATATTCTAGCAGAATCAGATAGAAACCGCGGGCAGCTGCCCACTCCCTCCCCTTACCGTGAGCCTGCCCGCGGGCGGTGCCCAGGACGCCCTGTGTGGTCGGCCCCAGGCCTGTGCCTGCAGAGCCACCCGCGGACCTGACCGGACCTGACCGCCTGGGGAACTCGACGCAGGAACGTCCCCAGTGGGCCGCAGGACTCCCTGCCTCGCTGTGCGTCTGCGGTGGGCCGCCCTGCGCGCCTGACTGCCGGTGGGCACAGCCCCAAGGGGACCGCTCCGGATGCCCGCACCTCCCCTCTGTTGTGGATCCGTCTGGCCTGACTCCATGGGTGGTGCAGGGGCGTGGCCCCGAGGGGTGTTCAGCAACACTAAGGCCGCCAGCCCTGTCCGCTCTTAGTTTCCAGTCCGTTCTTTCCTCTTTTGATTTTGGAGAATCACTTTGCTTCCTTCTGATTTTTTTTAGCACCAAGACACCCTCCAATTATATCTCCCTAAATCCAGAAGCAGTTGGGAAGTGTCAGCATTCATTCCCCAAATGTTTACGGCCATATCTGGGTCTGGCTATTAAATATTGCACATTAAGATTGACAAAGCAATAAACAAGCTCTGGGAAGACAGCCTCCGGTGCAGAAGCCCGCCTGTCAGGGGTGCGTCTGCTGGGACCTTACTGATGGGGAGTCGGGATGAATATTTCATGCCCTCTGGATGCTGCCAAATCCGTTTTCTCCAGTTTCTTATTGCTGACCTGGCAGGTTGGGAGAGCCAGGGGCTTTATCTTTGTCTCATGAGGCCAGGACTTGGGAACACGAGGGCTCCTGTCAGGCTGCCCTTTCCCTCAGAGGGGCGCCCCTGCTTGCCTCTGGGGGCCCTGAGCTGCCCCTCTTTCACACGAGCTGGCGTTCCTGCACACAGTTCAGCGCCTCTGCACGCGGCTTCGGCCTGGGGGTGCGCAGAGATGCGGTGAGCATGAGAACGGAACCCGCGGCCGGAGTCCCCGCCCGCCCCTTCTGGTTCTCGTTGTCATGGTGACGCCTGGTGCACCTCTTTGGAGTCACTGATCACGGCCTGTTCTCGCTGCAGACAGGTGGGCTGACAGGTCTGTCTAGGTGACTCCTGACCAGCTGTTCCCACCTCTGACCTTTGCCCCTGTCCCCTCCCTCCTGGGGTCCCTGCCGAAGCTCCCTGAGTACCTGCTGTGTGCTGGTGCCACGCAGGCTGCCCGGCTGCGGAGACAGGGGTCCCAGTCCTGCCCTGAGGGCTGTATGGAGGAGGTGGCAGGCCTGGGAAGAGGGGCCAGGGAGAGTTGCGGGTGGTGGCGCAGGGCTGCAAGGAAGAGGAGATCCCTTGGTGTGGCGGTGGGGGGCAGGAGCGGGTGACAGGGGGTGAAGGGCCTCACCCAGGGAGTGACCCGGGAGACAGGGGCGTCTGCCCCTGTGCTCAGCGTCGGGGTCTGGGGGGCCATCCATGGTGGCTCAAGTTGAAAACAGGCCGGACAGCTTGGGCCGGAGTGCTGGCTTTGCTGTGCTCCACAGTGTGACCCCGGGCGAGTGTCTTTATAAAGTTGGGGGTGAGAGGACTTATTTCACAGGGCTGGTGGGCACCAAGTAGTGTTTGTAAAGTGCTTACAGTCGTGCTCC